GTCTGTTTTTGTGCCAGTACCATACTGTCTTGATGACTACAGCTTTGTACTATAGCCTGAAATCAGGAATTGCGATGATTCCAGTTTTTTCTTTTTCAAAATTCCTTTGGCTATTTGGAATCTTTTGTGGTTCCAAACAAATTTTCGGATTGTTTGTTCTAGCTCTTTGAAAAATGTTGGTGGTATTTTGATAGGGATTGCATTAAATGTGTAGATTGCTTTGGGTAGTATAGGCATTTTAGCAATGTTTGTTCTTCCAATCCATGAGCACAGAATGCTTTTCCATTTCTTTGTGTCCTCTTCAATTTCTTCATACGTGCTTTGTAGCTTTCAGAGTACAGATCTTTTACCTCTTTAGTTAGGTTTATTCCTAGGTATCTTATTGGTTTTGGTGCAATTGCAAATGGGATCGATTCCTTGATTCCTTTTTCTGCTGCTTTATTATTGGTGCATAGAAATGCAACTGATTTCTGTGCATTGATTTTATATCCTGCAACTTTGCTGAATTCATGTATGAGTTCTAGCAATTTTGGGGTGGATTCTTTTGGGTTTTCCACATAAAGTGTCATGTCATCTGCAGATCGTGAGAGTTTGACTTCTTCTTTGCCAATTTGAATGCCTTGTATTTCTTTTTGTTGTCTGATTGCTGAGGCTAGGACTTCTAGTACTATGTTGAACACCAGTGGTGAGAGTGGGCATGCTGTCATGTTCCTGATCTTAGGAGGAAAGCTCTCAGTTTTTCCCCATTGAGAATGATATTTGCTGTGGGCTTTTTATAGATGGCTTTTATGATATTGAGGTATATTCCCTCTATCCCTACACTGTGGAGAGTTTTAATCAAGAGAGGATGCTGTATTTTGTCAAATGTTTTTTTCTGCATCAATTGAGAAGATCATATGTCTTTTGTCCTTTCTTTTATTAATGTGATATATCACATTGATTGATTTACAAATGTTGAACCACCCTTGCAGCCCAGGAATAAGTTCCACTTGGTCATGGTGAATAATCCTTTTCATGTACTATTGGATCCTATTGGCTAGTATCCTGGTGAGTAAATTTTGGCATCCATCTTCATCAGGGATATTGGTCTGTAATTCTCCTTTTTGATGTGGTCTTTGTCTGGTTTTGGGATCAAGGTAATGCTGGCCTCATAGAATGAGTTTGGACGTTTTCCTTCCATTTCTATTTTTTGAAACAGCTTCAGAAGAATAGGTATTAACTCTTCTTTAAATGTTTGGTAGAATTCTCCTGGGAAGCCATCTGGCCCTGGACTCTTGTTTTTTGGGAGGTTTTTGATTACTACTTCAATTTCCTTGCTCGTTATGGGTCTGTTCAGATTTTCAAACAGTTTTGGTAGTTTATAAGTTTCCAAGAATGCATCCATTTCTTCCAGATTGCCTAATTTGTTGGCATATAGTTGTTCATAATATGTCCTTAAAATTGTTTGTATTTCCTTGGTGTTGGTCATGATCTCTCCTCTTTCATTCATGACTTTATTAATTTGGGTCCTTTCTCATTTCTTTTTGATAAGTCTGGCTAGGAGTTTATCGATCTTATTAATTCTTCCAAAGAATTCTTTCAGACCATGCTTTCGGTCCTGGGATTCTGCCCCACTTTGCCACCTGAACACTTTAAGCCAGGCACATCCTCCATGGCAGTGGACTACTAAAAGTTCAGATTTTACACTCCATGGCTTCTAATACTTTGTGGTAGCCTCTGTAAGCAGGCTCCCTCCCCACCAATGTATCCAGAGCTATATCTCCCCCAAGTCAACTCCATGTCTCCTACCTTCCAAAGGTGGTCACTTTTCTACTTGTAGACTTGCAGTTTTTGTTTTTTTTTGTAGACCGCTGATTGATTTCTTGGGTGTTTAGAATGACTTGATAACTATCAAGCTGTGTTCAAGGGAAGAGACAAGCTTAGGATCCCCCTACTCCTCTGCCATCTTAACTCTTTTATCAGCACTAAAGTTTAATGAGAACCTAATCCATTCAGACTAACTAAATAATTATTAAACCTTAAAGTTAGAAAGAGACCTTGAAAGACACCTAGCAAGCTCTTCAAAGCTGACAATGACTAAAAATCAAGCCCAGAGGAGGTGACATTGTCAAAACCAGAGACTTCCCAGCCCCCTGTACAAATAGAAGAAAAAGAAAAAGAAAAGAAAGAAACAGATACCACTATAGAAATAGCAATCTCATTTTTTTGAATATGTATATATCACACAATATCCTAGATTGAAGCTTTTTTTTTTTTTAAAGATTTTATTTATTTATTTGACAGAGAGAGACACAGCGAGAGAGGGAACACAAGCAGGGGGAGTGGGAGAGGGAGAGCAGGCTCCACGCAGAGCAGGGAGCCCAATGTGGGACTCGATCCCAGGACCCTGGGATCATGACCTGAGCCGAAGGCAGATGCTTAACCGACTGAGCCACCCAGGCGCCCCTAGATTGAAGCTCTTGTTTAATAATCACATGGCAGTTAAACAACAGAAGAATGTGGTAAAGTATCTATGTTATATCAGGATACATATTCAGCAAGACATAAATTGTTAAGCATCAATTACAAATATAAAAGTATATTAAATTAGTTTTTCTAAAATAAAATGTTTCTATAAATCTAAAATAATATGATCACTGAGGAAGGTGCATGATTTTCATCGCAGTGTCCATAACTATGGACCATGTGCTAAGTGTGGCAGCGAGACCACAGACACAAAGGCCCACTGCATTTTCCAAATTAATCACATACGTGACCAGATGTGCCCTACTGAGTTGTACAAATAAATCATAAATACCTCCCAAAACTAAAGAATGTGGCTTGCAGAGTCAAAGATTCAAAAATATTTTGTGCAAATATAAGAATAGTAAAATAGATATTCGGGGGTAAAAAGTGGATAGGACACGTAACTCTGAGTAAATCAGGCTCTCCGTCTGTGGCATTTTTTTTTTTTTTTCATCTAAAGGTGGCTTTCTCAAAGAGATCTAAAAATTAACTCTACCATAACACTCTTAGTGACCAAACTGGACAAGAAGTAGGATATTCAGCCTAAGGAATGTTGTCTCCTAGCAACCACAAGAGTGAGAGCCAGAGATATACAAAGGCATACTTCAAAAGTCTGCAACCCCATGAGTTCAAAGATCAAAGTCCTAAAATTTAAAGATTTATTCCTTTTCTTGAATTTTCTAAATGGGAGAATTTTTACTTTCCCCACTATAAGACATCAATAATGAATCTCAGTACTTAGAAACCAAGCTGCTGTGGTGTATTTATGTTATAGCTTACCTTGAAAAGCAAAAATACTTTTCCTGAAATAAATATAACCAATCACCAAACATTCCTTATTGTTAAATTCAGTAAAACTCAAAACACATGGAATTGGGACTGTGAGTTATCAGGGCTTTACTGTTGATTTAAATTCTACTTTTATTAAAGGACAATAGAGATTCCAGTCGGCTGATGAAAGTTGGGTTATTTGGAATTGCAAAGCAGTATCAGCTTAAGGAGGCTCTGCCATATAGACCCAGTGATTACATCTCATAAAAGAGATCAGGAACTGACACACAGAGAACTTTATTGTCTTTAATAGTTGCTAAACATAGGAATGAGGTTGACAGAAATTTTGCAGTCTTTTTTTTTTTTAATTTTAAGAGAATACAATGACCTCAGACATTTTTGGTCTGCGCTCTCCCACCAAAACAAACATGTCAGTCATCATTATTCCATCTCTTTTTAAGAATGACAATTACCTAAAGAGATGAATTGTACAAAGGTTCCTGGATTAACATAGACAACAGTGTGACTATGTTTTGCTTTCTATATAAAATTAGATGTCTGAGACCAGTTTAGGTTTTTTACCTCAATGACACCTTTCACAAGTACCAGTTATTATATTACTATGTTCATAAAATAAAAAGTCTGACTCTCATAGGAAAATGTAGCTATGTCCTAAAAGGGAAAAAAAGAATGCTTATTTCCTAAATAATTCAAACTATGTACTATTCTCTAAATTTGATGTTTACACAGCCTAGCCTACATAACTAATGAACATCCAAATTTCTCCTCCTATTAATTGCTGTTGTTTCATGAAAAATAATGCTGTAAACTATTACTTAATCAAATGTATCTTATCCTACCTTAAAATCTTCATGTGCTGAATCTCTATGCTTTTAAAAGCAAAATAACCAGAAATTAATTTTTAGATGCCAAATGTATATATAGAAACGTAAACCCTATAGTTAACAAAATCTATCTACTCTAATATTATCTGAGTAAATTTTAAACTGATCATCATCTGTACTTGAGCCTATTCTTTTCTCCGCTTCTATAACTTACTTTTTTTTCTTTTTTAAGTAGGCTTCACACCCAGCTGGGCGTGGAGCCCAACACAGGGCTCAAACTCACAACCCTGAGATCAAGGGTCAGGATGCTTAATTGACTGAGCCACCAGATGCCCCATTACTTATTTTTATAATAACCCCAGAAATAGGTAATAATATTTTAAGTAATATGTTTTTTGTAGATTTTATTGTATTTTGTGGATATTTACTGGTATTGTTGTAATTAGTTTTAGATTTAGAACTATGTTTTATAAATGCAAAATTTTCTTGAAAATATATTATGTTTTGAAATCACTCTCTCTTCCAGGAAACAGGCTTTTTAAAAGTTAGTTCCATTTTATGAACAAAATTAATGAATTTGATTTTGTTCTTAGCTATTTCAAGCTATGCATGATTTTATTCTCTATATTACCAAGGACCTTTCCAGTAAATGGGCTTGTATCAAATGGGTACCCCAATGCCATGATGCAGGTATTTTCTTGAATATTTAATGACACATTCAGGTGTGCTCCCCATTTCTTTACAGGGAATCTTTGTGTCTCTCCCCATTTTTGTACTCTGTTAGTTCCACAACATTTTCCTCTGTTTCTTCTATTCTTCTATCATTATAAATGTGATGGTTCTACCCGCTCTCACATCAACATAAATTGCACTCCATACCTGTGATGGCACATGGCGGTGGCTTGACAAAGGCTCACATTAGTCTTGCTTATCAGTGCAGCTTGTTTAAAATCCTGAAAGAGTTTTTTAAGTTTTTGTTAATTTTGCAACATCATCTTTTGTGCTTTCTTAAACTTCCTTCTAACTTTGATTCTATCATGAATATATTTAACACAAGCATTAAAATATACATCTTCCTAAGACTTTATTTTTCCTTTTAGTATCACAGCTAGTGAGAATGCATGGAGCATAGCTGAAAACTCACTCAGAATCTTATGCTACTGGTCTCCCCTCTTCTTGTGGCTTTGCCCCGCTCTGTGTAATGAGATATTTCATTTGCTTTCATTTTATTGTTTTTTCCCCAGCACACACCACCAGAGACTTCCCCATCTAGATAGAAATGGAAATTCAGGGGCACCTGGGTGGCTCAGTCGTTAAGCGTCTGCCTTCGGCTCAGGTCATGATCCCGGGGTCCTGGGATCGAGCCCCACATCGGGCTCCCCGGTCCGCGGGAAGCCTGCTTCTCCCTCTCCCACTCCCCCTGCTTGTGTTCCCTCTCTCGCTGTGTCTCTCTCTGTCAAATAAACAAAATCTTTAAAAAAAAAAAAGAAAGAAAGAAAGAAATGGAAACTCACTTGGAGAGAAGCTTTGACATTACATGTCATAGGACACATAGGTACCTAGGTCCAGGGAAAGCGTATAACTGGGCCTTTTGGTGTGGATTAGCTAAGGCTGCTCCTACCTTTGGAGTCCACACTTCTGGGAAGTGTGTTGTTTTGTCCAGGGATCCTAGAAGCTCCTGGGAGAGAACAATGTAGACTCTAACCCCAAGATTTTGAGTTAGAGAAGTCAACTAAGATAGACCGGAATGGCCCAGGCGAAGAGGTTGTTAAGAGAATTACAAGTGCTAAGCCTGCAAAATGTCCTGACTTTGTGGCCCTAACACTCACTGTCCTCCCTTAGGCACTGGAGAGGAGCCAACCTTCATAGATGGTCTCCCTCTCCTTCTCCTTCTCCTTCTCCCTTCCCCTTTCCTTCTCTTCTCCCCTCTTTCTTCCACAAACCTTCCCAGGCTGTGCCACAGGGAGGAAGCTGGCTCTCTTGTGCGGGTAGGATGAGTTTTCTGCAACTACTGGCTGGAAGAGGGAGCAGTAGGGTCAAATGAGCACCCTGGGATCCTACTGGGGGAGGAAGGTATTAGTCACATAGACCTATCTGTGAATGCAGACTCCCCATTTAGATTCCTAGAATATATTTTGATATTAAATGGAAATATTTGGGAGAAAATAAAAAAGTTATTGTCTACTCAAATACAATCTAATCAGATATGCTGCCAGCTAACTCCCCTAAAAGAATTGTCTAGCTAAAATAGAAGCAAATTTACAAGTATGAGATTTGTTACAAACATTCTTATTAATTTGAAGAGTTGTGGGAAGTGACCACAAACTTACAAGATTGAGAATACCAAGTTTCATTTTGTAATCAGATACAATTTACAAATGTCAACTTGACTTTATATACACAACCATTATTATGCTATATGGTAATTAGGCCTTAATTATCAGCAATAGACATAAATGATGACTTAGCATTACTTAGAATAAAGCTAACAGAATTTTTATGATTTTTCTTATCTGCATGAATCTTTTCTCTGATATGGAGATCCTAAATAATAAACCACACGCAGTCACTCATATACAAAGCAAAATCCCAACTCCCATTCCCTCCACTGATGAATTTATTTGTACAGACCTTCACCCACACTGTCTCACTTTCTGTGTCAGAGAGTGGGCTCTTGACTTTATTCCTTCCTCTCTCCTCTGGAAACTTGCTCCATCATAGTCCTGCTGCTTTCTGTATCTTTAATCGTTGGCTCACTGCTCTGCCCTAATGTGCCTTCCTTCAATCCTCCCTCCCCCAAATCTACACATGGCCTTCTCATTCTAGTTTTTGTCATTACCAATCTCCTTGAAAGTATGGTCAACACTCACAGCGGCCATGTCCCCATATCCCCTCAACTCATTATTCTTGTTTAATAAGGCCAATTTTATTTTATAATTTGTAAACTGCCTCTGAAGGCATTTGTTGTCTATTTTTATTCTTATCCAAAGTAACCTTTATATACAATGCATAGGATCTAATAAAACTAGAAAATGTGCAAAGCTTATAGTGACCCCCCACCTCCCTTCTTGCTCCCCCTCTCCTTACCCAAGTCCACTCCCCAAGGATAATTGTTTTTACAGCTTGCTGGGTTTTGTTCTGCTATCTACCTTCAAATTTCTAAATAACATGAGTATTGTATCATGTTTGACTTCTGACATAGGCTAATATTTAGCTATCTTACACCATCACTCCATGTACTTCCTCTTTTGCCACCATCCCATACACCTATGGGCAATGCATTTGTTTGTTTTAGTCTCTGTTTCACTTCCCTCAAGTGTAGGATCCTTGGCTACCCATTCATTTTTAAGTTTGAGGTATTAAAATCTTGAGTGGTAGTTTTTGGTGCCCTCAACAGCTCTTCTCCACTATCTTTAACTTTGTGGAATTAATACCTTTTTATTCCTTTACTGTTTTCCTGGTAGGTTTTCAAGAGGACAAAGAGATAAATAAATGTTCTCAATCCAACCAGCTTAACCATTAACTTCCTAAACAATGTCAGTCTAAATGTTGCATTCTAGTTCCTGGTCAACGTGTTCCTATGAAGGTAGGACATACAACTTTCAATTAATTAATGGGTTTTCAGTATTTCTCCTACTTAACCACACTATTTATCAATCACTCCCACTAAAAAAATTTCCCTAGATAGGTTTTAAGACTCTGCTTTCCTTGGTTGTTTATCTAGCCCTCTTATTATTAAGTCTTACATTCTTTCACTGGTTCTTCCTCAACCTGCATCTTTTTTTTTTAATTTAATGCTTCAAATTAGTATTTTTTACTTTACATTGAGAAAAAAATCTTTTTTTAATTTTTAATTAGTGTTTGCAGGGCATGCTTTTTTTCTTAGCCTTTTACTTTTATCTATCTATATCATTATATTTAAAGTATGTTTCCTACAGCCAGAATATAGCTAGGGCTTTTTTTTTTTTAAGATTTATTTATTTATTTGAGAGAGAGGGATGTGGGGAGGGGTAGAGGGAGAGGGAGAGAGAGTCTTAAGCAGACTCCATGCTAAGCATGGAACCTGACTCGGGGCTCAATTTCACAACCCTGAGATCAAGACCTGAGCTGAAACCGAGTCAAGCACTTAACTGTGCTACTCAGGCACCCCTATAGTTAGGGCTTTTTAAAAATTCCAATCTGACCTTCTCATTATTTTAATTGGTATATTTTGACCATTTCTATTTAATGTAAATACTAATAGGGTTAGATTTAGGTCTAAATTTTATTTTTTGTTTTCTGCTGGTTTCCTCTGTTTTCCCTTTCCAGACTTATTTTGAGTTATTTTTATTTTTTTAAAAAATTCCATTTTAATCAATCTATGGTCTTTTTGACTAAGGAGGCCACATTTGGGCAGAAATCTGAAAGGAAAGGAGGGTATGGACCACACACAGATCAGTGGGAAGAGTGTTCTATGCTTAGGGAATAGCTTGAATGACGACTCTGAGGCAGGAAGAGAGCCTGGCATTTCCAAGGAATAGCAAAAGGCCAGAGTGGGGTGACCTGAGTGAAGAAAAGAAGAACATTTGACAATGAAGGCAGATCAGTGGACAACAGTCAGATCATGTAGGGTCTTGGCTGGCATAGTCAAGAATTCAGATTTTATTCTAGATGTTACGGGAAGCCAATGGAAGGTTTTAAGCAAAGGAATAACTCGATCCTCTTTATGTTTTTAAGAGGTCTCCCTGGCTGCTGTGTAAAGAACAGCATGCAGAGGAACAAGAGCAAATGCAGAGAGGCCAGTTAAGAAGCTACTACAGTAGTCCCGGGGAGAGATGGTTGAGGCTTGAATTAGGAGGATAGCAGTGGCAAAAACGAGAAGTGATGAATTCAAAATATGCTTTGATGGTAGAGCTGACTGGACTTGCTCGTGATTTAGATGTGGGGTAAAGAAAGGGAAGGGTTAATAATGATTCCCACTAGACCATGAGCTCCTCTGTCTTAGTGATCTCCATGACTTTATGGCCAATGCCAGGTACTTGCCTTGTGAGAAAGAACATAGGATTTGGAATCAAGAAAGATCTGAGTTCAAATCTTGCCCCACTACTTCCTAGCTGAAAGATTTTGTTAAGTACTAAGTGGTATTTACTTGTTAGATAACACAGGCCCTGTATTTAATTCTCCAACAGCTGAGGTCTTTTGCTCCCAAGCCCCATTTTCCTCACTTGTTCCACCCCAACACTGTGGCCCAGAGTTCCATAGCTTACTTACTTGCTTACTTGCCTACTCCAAACAAAGTTCTCTAGCTTCTCCTACCTGAGGGAATTCTGAATGGTATAACAACACCAAAACCTAAAGGAGTTCAACTCTTGAAATTACATTTCATCATAGTGTAAGACACTCCTTAATAATAAGTATTTCTGTGGGGGCAGAATCTCAAAAGATAACTCCAGGGCACAGAAAAATAATAAAAGCCATCTCTAAAAGTGAAAAAAATGAGGGAACACTCACTACATAATATTCTGTCATCATTCCTCAGAAACACAAAAGCAAAACTACCATTATTTAACTGCATACTTTGATTTTTGCTTCATATTTCCTAATCTTAATTCCAAAATTAACTTAAAATAGATGATACAAATAAGATAAAAATGAGAATGGTGAATTTTGTTTAATTTTAATTAATAACAATTACCAAAATACATTTTAAACAACCTGTTTTTCTTTTGATACACTGCAGATGCTATTTTATTGCAATTCTGAGTGTCTGTTTCCACTATCTTAAAAGTCTTTTCCCAGTAGCCTATTTTGAGCAGCCATTTTCTGCCCTATGCAAAACAGATTTATTTTGATATATTTTCAATGGGGAATGAGGAAAATTTTGAATGAGGAAAAATTAGCACTGAGCAGCAAAATAAATCATTACACAAATCATTTTATTTACCAAATAATTGAGTTTTATGTGTAGCTAAGATACTCCCTGGGAGAAGGTGGGTGTATTGACATTTCATCAAATCAGAAACACTTTTCTATATATTAGCTGTAATCAAAACAAAGTAAAAATACACATTTTTTGGCAAAGATTCTATTATTCATTCGAAGTACTTCAATACAATTCTTGCTAAGGTTGTTACTGCTCATTAATACGGCCATTTGATACCAAGAAAAAATTGTTCACTAGTTTTCTGAAAAGAATGTGCAAAATCAAGTGGGTTCATTTTTACAAGTAAACAGGAAGGTTTACCTCCAATGCGAAACTATACTGGTCTAGCTCTATGTAGATGAGTCCACGATTAATGAAAGTGTTTAATGTCACAGTTTCTCCAGCATCAAGAAGAAGCACAATTCCATAATCTATTAATGCCTGAAAACAAAATAATCACTTACAACCTAGATTTAACTCTTTAGAGCCTTACCACATTGACTATGAACAAATGTGTTTATGACCAAACTAGGACCTAACATGGATTCTTTAATTTGACTTACGTTTATGACCAAAAATAATCATTCAGATTTAAAGGGTCCCATTAACTAAATATTACAAACACTATTATGTTTTAATAAATGGTCCACACTGTGCTCACCTTTCACATGTTATCTTTGGATCATCTTAAGCATTTTTATTGTATATGGTTTGGAAGGGGAGTGGTGCAATACCCTTCCCCCACTCAGTAGTTTCACCAAATGACTGTTGACATTAAAGCAGAGCACTTGCTACCTTTTAAAATTTAATTTCTTTTTAGTGTTTTATTATTTTTACCACTGAAACCCTGAAACCTAAGTTTTATGGAGGCAGAGCTTATCTATTTTGTTCACCATTGTAAAGCAAATAACTAGCTCAGTGCCTGCCTATAATAGGCAGTAGATAAATTTTTGTTGAATGAATAAATCATGAATCAATTAAAATGAATTTTAATACACTAACAAATAAGCACTCGTTGGAAAATTACTTCAAAATATTTTGAGGGGCGCCTGGGTGGCTCAGTCATTGAGCGTCTGCCTTCGGCTCACGTCATGATCCCAGGGTCCTGGGATCCAGCCCCGCATCGGGCTCCCTGCTCAACGGGAAGCCTGCTTCTCCCTCTCCCACTCCCCCTGCTTGTGTTCCCTCTCTCGCTGTGTCTCTGTCAAATGGATAAAATCTTAAAAAAAAAAAAAAAACACTAGAATGTTTGCAATTTTCCTGTCACAGAATCCCAGAATGTAAAACTTGTAAGATGCCTTAGAGATCTACTAAGCAGCTGAATATGTGACTCAAGAGGAAACAAAAGGTGGGAAATGAGATGTCCTGAAGGTCAATGAGCACGATTTGGATCATGCCTCTGTTATTATTACTACCTCTTCAATCTTGGGGAAATTACTTAACACTAAGCCTCAGTTTCCTCATCTATAAAATTGGAATATTAATAACTTATCATATTGTTGTAAAAGTCCCCTTAAAAATATTTTGATTGTATGTTGGTAAAGCATTTAGCTCAGTGCTTGTCACCCAATAAGCCCTAAGTAAGTGGTAACTGTTATTTATATTAAAATGAGGTGGTAGGAAGCAGAATTCACCTTTTCTTAATTTTTTATGAAAGCATATCTTGGAAGAATGCCTAAGTGCATTTTCTGCACAAAGGTACTTGGGTTTTCTCACTCCAGTGATGGCAGGAATGCTGAGAAACAGGTGGAGGGAGACAAAAAGGGAGGAGGTGACACTGTTAAATGACATCCGGTCCACATGCTGGAGGTCAACTGGTTTTACAAAGCCACATAAAGACTGTTAACCAGAAGCAAACAAACCTGTGAACACCAATACAGGTTTCTACTTTCTGTGACTTGGATGTGTTTCTAACTTCTTCCTGCTTCCATTTCCTCCTCTGTAAAGTTACTCAGTTGGAGGAAATGTGTTGAGTACCTGGCAGCTCTAAAATAATCAATATGTTATTATTCTAGTTAGATCTCTAGGTAGTTTTTCATTTTCTCTATTCATAGAACACTGATTCTGCTATATATCAGAGATAACAAAAATGGGAGTTCCCTGCCCCCACCCAGTCCATTGTTTGTGGCTTCAGAGTTACCCGGAAAAGGCAGGAATGGGGGTGGGGAGCCATCAAAGACACCTGCTGTGCAGGTTACTTGATAAATGATCCTTTAATTAGCTCTTAGAATCTTAACAACTCCTTTGTTAAAAATTAGTTATTCATTTGTCAACATTTCTGGAGGAAACTTGATAGACTGGCTACCAGGAATTCTACAGTCTCTTAGGTAGAAACGATGGTTCTCAACTTCTTCCCTTCCACAGCAAATATGTTTCTAAATCTCCAACTGTTTTAAACAGACTTCACTGTCCAAATTTCAAGGAGGTTGGAGGAGTGTGTCCACAGAGAACAGCAGGAATGCAATGTAGTATCTTAGGAGAAAGCTTCATTGACTATGGAAGTAGAGAGAAATAAGAAGGGAAGACAAGCAGACGACAGAGGAAGAGAAGCGAGAGGATGGGACAGAACACTGAGAGACCAAGACCAGCTGACCAGTGAGGAATCTTGACTGGAAAAGGACCAAATCTACAAGGGTAGGGAAGAGAAGAGTAAGATTAGAAAACAGAAAAGAGGGTTTGCACAGGTAGAAGGTGGATCAGGACAAATAGAGAAAAAGATTTACTGCAGCCATCAGTTGGGGCTTCAAAAGACACAGGCAACACTCGTCGCTGGTCTGGGAGCTGGAAACCATCATGGAAAACTCCCTGCTGTGTCTGTGGTCCGAGCGCTGTACAAAAAAGTCCCTGGACAAATTGTTCTAGCTAATGTTGAGATTTTGAAGCAATGATATTGCTAGTGATCACTGCTTAAAAATTCTCCAAGCAGTATATCAGTAGAAAATTCACTCAAATGAGAATTGTGTAATATATTTTAATTTATAAATGCCCTTAAATGCTTATAAGAGCATTGTAAAATTAATTTTCATGTGACATTGCAAAGATCGTATAAAAATATTTGCTGAGGACCAATAAAACATTAAATATTCTTTGAAATGGTTCTTTGGTTTCTCAAGTTTGTTGTGTGTGTTTGTGTGTGTGTGTATTTCCACAGGAATTACTTTTCAAAATTATATAACAGAAATAAGAAAATGCTTTACACATGCTTTAAATGTGTTTATAAATGCATACACTAACGTGTAGTTTAGTAAAATGGTCATCTTACCATTCGAAGTTCATTTATCTTGGTGTAACATAATGCTCTGTTATAAAATGCTACATAACTGTTTTTGTCCATATTGATAGATGTAGTTAAATCTGTAATTGCTAGCTTATAAGTCTACAAAGAAAAAAATAATTAGATAAGAAGGGTTAATCATAATGGACTGAAATTTAATTGCAAAATATATTCTTGATTCTATCAGAATTTTTGGAACACTCATTTACCTATTCTGTGCATCATCTGGGAAATTAAGACAATTAAGTTAATCTTTCACAGAGTTAATTAAGATCTCTTGGTAGGAATTATTATAATAATGTTTCTCCTACCTGCAAATATAATTCAATATATAATTATATATATAATTTAGATGATTATCTTATTGCCAATATTGCTAATTAAGAAATAAGCCACATTGGCCAAACCTTGCTTGCTTCTGTCACTCATACTGTTATGTAACATAATGGTCATGTTTTCTACCCATGTTCTCTTTCACTTCCTCTTTGATGCTTCTCTGATACCCTAGATCATTCAGTACATGGAATTGACATGTAATACAAGGTCTAACCTTTGCTTTAAGGCATTATTTGCCATATATTTCACATGAAATAGTTACAAAGAAAGGTCAGAAAAGAAAAGTAGGGAGAAACAAAGTATTCCATGAAGTATCAGATATCAATGGTGCTGCTCACACCATTTGAGCCAGTAATTTCTGTTTAGGAATCAATCATAAACTCAAGCAATGACTTTATTCTCAGTGTGTGTAACTGTATTATTTAAGATAGTAAAAGAGTAAAACATTTAACACAACCCAAATGTCCAACTATAAAAATATACTATGGTAGAATATTATTTGGTCATTAAAAATAGTATCTTCAAAGATTGTGAGAAGAAAGGCACAACAAATTTATAAGTAGCATAATCCCAATTTTGGAAAATACATATCATATTTTCAGGGAAAGAAAAGACTAAATGTAAATAAACCAAAATGCTCTCAGGAATTATCATTTGATGGTGGGGATAATAGGTGATTTTAATCTTCTCCTTTATTCCCCTATGTATTTTCCAAATCCTTTGCAATGAATATACACTACTTTCTTAATAAGATAAATAGTAAGTGCTATTTAAAATATAAATATCAAAAATAAATAGCACTATTTTGTACAAAATTATGAATTGAAATCCCTTTGAAGTACTGTGAAAGTATAAAGTGTTCTATGCAATTCTGCCCTTTGTACCACGGTGATTCTCCTCTCATGGAGAAAAAAAGGAAACAAGTCACAACTTGGCATCTGAGCATCTGCCCACTCTAAAATCTCAGTTAACAAGGCAAGAAACAGCCCTACCTTGTTGTAGTATTTCAGAACTCCTCTGTAGATATAGGCACGCACACTCTGAGGATAAATTTTGATGGCCTCATTACAATTCAAGATTGCTTTGGAGTATCTGCCTTTCAAACCATAGAAGGCTACTCGGCTTAAGTATGCCTTTTCAGAAAAAGAGCAGAGGAAAGTAGGAATGGATATTTTAGTAAAAGCATCAATTCTCCCAAAATATATTGTAGTTTGAACAAATCCATGCCATCCAAAGATGGTATAAAATATAGTCTTTTTTCCCACTCTCTTGTATTAGAAAATATTTCAAACAGGCACCTGGATGTCTCAGTCAGTTGAGCATCCGACTCAGTTTCAGCTCAGGCATGATCTCAGGCAGGGTAGTGGGACCAAGCCCCATGTAGGTTCCATGCTCAGTGGGGAGTCTGCTTGAGATTCTCTCTCTCTCCCTTTCCCTCTGCCCCTCCTCCTACTCATGCACACACTCTCTCTCTCAAATAAAAAAATTAATCTTTTTTTAAAAAAAGAAAATATTTTGAATATATAGAATAATTGAAAAAATAGTACAATGAACATCCATACGACTACCATCTGGATTCAACAATTATTATTTTACAGTATTTGTTGTATCTATTTTTTCTGAACCATTGGAAAATTAAGTTGTAGACATCATAATACTTTGCTCCCAGGTTTTCCATTATGCAAACATTCTCCTACATAAGCACACTACCATTATATATCTAAGAAAATTAATAGTATTCTCTAAAATCATCTAATATTTAGTATATTTAAATTTCATAGGCTTTTAAAATCAGGATCCAATCAAGCTTCACCTATTGAATTTTGTATTATCTCTACAGTCTCTTAAAAGGCAGGAATAAATGTGATAGCTAAAATTGAAGTAAATAAAATTAATAACAGTTATATAAAATTATAATTGTTAATAGGTACAATAAAATATTAACAATATTTATAAACATCACAATTCACGAAGCACTTTTACATAAAGTATCACTGTTGGAAACAAAATTTTTAGTTCAAGGGGAAATACAGATATACAAATTATCAAAACACAGCTGAAAAGTAGGTATAAGTAACCGATTCTTGCTAACTAGTAACAGTGACATGTAAAGATTTAATAGTTTTAACAAATTTGACACACTCTCCAAATCACTGAAATTGTTCATTTAAATACCTGGTAATGTTTTGGATTGAGGGTAATGGCACGATTAAAATCCAGGACCGAACTATCCTTATGGAGTTTTACTTTACAAAGCCCACGTTGATAAAAGCCTTCTGCAAAATCAGGATTTGCTTTCACAGCTTTTGTAAAACAATCAAATGCCTAGAAGAGTATTTTGTTAAGTAATGAGTAGAATATAGTGAGTAGAATATATTAATGAGTAGAGTATATTAATTTAAAATGTTAATAAATTATAGTGTGTAATGATTGTTGAAAAGTTTTCACTTATTTTTGGTCATTTTAAATACATTTTTCCTAGTGAACTTTGTGAAGAAAATAAAAGTAATATAAGCAAGTCAGGTTTACTACTATAATTTATAGGTCCATTTAATCCCAGACTAATGTCAACCTAATCCATGTTGTTAGATAACAGTACTTTTAGAGGTATAATTTTAACTGTTATTCTTCATACTGTTTTTATTCAAAGAAAGTACAACCTGTACATTTATTTTTCATGAGGGCCCAAGATACATAGTTACGAAATTTCTTAACAATGGAACTCAAATTTTTCCCAACATTGTAAAGCAAAGGTTGGCTTGCTCTGGTGTCCAAAAGGGCTAAAAACACAGAAAAGATTTATAATTAACCTTACATTTATCAGGATTTCCTAATGGAACAACTAATCAAGTGCAACTCTTTTTCAAGTTTGTGGAGATGCAAGACCCTACGAATACAAAGCCTGGAATGGTGTGCATGTGCATGCTGGTGTGTGTCTGTGTCTATATGTCTGTGTGTAGAGAGATTAAATTATGAAATATCCAGTATTAACCATTATAAAATAGTAATTATTTTATTTATCACATCACTGACAATTTTAAAATGGAGTCTGCTTGAGATTCTCTCTCTCCCTGTCCCTCTGCCCCTCCCCTGCTCACTCTCTCTCTAAATAAATAAATAAAATCTTCAAAAAAAATAAAAAATAAAGTGCCTATAATTTAATAAGTAAGGTCATGCTAATGTGATTAAAATATTCTGCTATAATAATTTCTTACAGTTAGATTTATTGTTGTGGTAGGAAACAGACATTAGTCTTTGGAATACTGTTGACAAACAAGCCTCAGATAAAATGTGTTGAATAAATAAAACATAGAGTAGGCATCACAGAGTGCACACTGATTGTAATACGCCAACCTCTATAAGAAATTTGGTCTAGTCACTCACTATATAGGTCAGAAACAGAATTGAATGCAAGCAATCAATTTCTAAAATCACAAATAATCTATGCTCCTAAATGCACAAAGTACCATTTGTACGTTGCCTTCCTCCATGTAACAAAGACCCAAGTTATACAGACAGTCTGCTGAAGCTGCTATAGCATTTGGTCCTTTATCAGAATGAGAAAAGATATCCAACGCCTTTTTAAACATTTTCACAGCTTCCTAGAATGATTTTTAAAAAAAGACAGAAGAGAATGTTTCTTTCTAGTATTTATTTAACGTGATGAACATGACACCTTAAACGGTAAAGGGAATCCTGAGCACACAGCCTGACTCTCATTTCACCCTAGGTACACAGGCCTGGTAAAGACATAGGCCTTGTCAGTGCACTGCCAGATGAGGACCAAGGAGGAGAATCTGCCGGCAGGGAATCCCACCAAGGTGCCTCCCCTACAATCTGCTACTTAAGCAGGCTTATACACGTGCACTTTTGAAACTATAATTTCTAAATTCTAAAGGTTATTTCCTTGTGGTCTAAAATCAACTTAAATTTATAGACTAGTTTATGATCAATTTTTTAGCAATTTTCCTGGAAGAAATACTGGACAGCTATTAGATGGTAAGGGATTTCCAATGATAATATCTGATGTGGTTTTAATCAACCTTTATTTTGTCCTACTGTGCTCTTAATGGGATTCCACTGGCACCAGGAAATAAACTAATATCAAAAATCACCCATTTATGTGCACCCCGATGTTTATAGCAGCAATGTCCACAATAGCCAAACTGTGGAAAGAGCCAAGATGTCCATCAACAGATGAATGGATAAAGAAGATTTGGTATATATATACAATGGAATATTATGCAGCCATCAAAACTAATGAGATCTTGCCATTTGCAACGACATGGATGGAACTGGAGGGTATTATGCTGAGCGAAATAAGTCAAACAGAGAAAGACATGTATCATATGACCTCACTGATATGAGGAATTCTTAATCTCAGGAAACAAACTGAGGGTTGCTGGAGTGGGGGGTGGGGTGGGAGGAATGGGGTGAATGGGTGATAGACACTGGGGAGGGTATGTGCTCTGGTAAGTGCTGTGAATTGTGCAAGACTGTTGAATCTCAGATCTGTACCTCTGAAACAAATAATGCAATATATGTTAAGGAAAAAAAAAAAGAAGAAGATAGCAGGAGGGGAAGAATGAAGGGGGGGAACTCAGAGGGGGAGATGAACCATGAGAGACGATGGACTGTGAAAAACAAACTGACGGTTCTAGAGGGGAGGGGGGTGGGAGGATGGGTTAGCCTGGTGATGGGTATTAAAGAGGGCACGTTCTTCATGGAGCACTGGGTGTTATGCACAAACAATGAATTATGGAGCACTACATCTAAAACTAATGATGTAATGTATGGTGATTAACATAACAATAAAAAAATTTTTTTTAAATCACCCATTTAAACTATTTAGTCAAAATAGTTGAAATTCATTAATGAAAAAAATATTCAATTTTCCCAAAAGAAATGACTTTTTATAGTAAACTAATAGATGTATTTATCTATATGGTTACATAAATATTTATGACTCTTTAGCCCATTTCCTTAATCATGTTAAATTACTAAAGACACCATGAGATTTAGCATGGATATGCTAAGTGTCCTCTGTGCCCTCCACTTAGCTTTTACTTCTTCTATTTACAGCCCACCTCAATGTCCACCATTCCATCCTCACTCTCAGCACACGACCTTGCCATAGAAAAAAGACATCACCTTCTTTCTCCATTTCCCTCCTTTTTATTTTTCAATATATCTATATCTTTCTTCATTTCCATCTTTTTTTCTCTCCTGTCTTTGAATGGTTTCCTTTCTTCTCCTTTTCAGAGCTAATTCCTCAAGCTGTGTCCTTGACCTCAACTCCTTCTGCCCTGCATGAACACAAGTTATTTCCTTCCTCTTCTGGATTACTGCCCCTTCACTATCTCTTTGAGTCCATAGAGTCTTCCATCCCATTTAAATTAAAGTGAACACATCTTCACTTCCTCCTGCTTCCTCTCGTAGCTGATGTTCTACCTGTTGCTTCTTAATGACTCTAAAAAAGACCCCTGGGGAAGCTCTGGAGGGGCTTAAGATAAAGCATATTTACATTCTAAATAGAGTACTGCCACTGTTGTGTGGATAAAAGCTTGGAAGAGAGCAACATGGTTGCTATCATTCTAGCAAAATAAAAATATGCTTTGGACTGGGATAATGACCATAGAAATAGAGAAAGGAAGTAGGATTGAGAGATATTTAGAAAGAACCAAGAGAACATCACTATTGATTGGATAGAAGAGGGCAATCAAAGATAACCCCAGGTTTGTTTCTACAGAGCAATGGGTAGGGGCAGAGGAGGTTAAAGTAAGTATATGAGTATTCCAAAAAAGAAATTCAACATCATAAAGGTGTCAGTTTTCCCTAAAATAACCTAGAGATTGAATATAATTCAATCAAAATTCTGACAGAGTTTTTAACAGATCTTGACAAGCTGAATTTAAAATGTATATAGAAGAGTAAAGGCCCAAAAATAAGCAGGAATTTTCTAGAGAAGAATATAGTGTAGGGACTAGCTCTACCAGATATCAATAATTACAATTAAATTATAATAATTAACTATCATAATAATTAAGACATTGTAGGGGCACCTGGATGGTTCAGTCGGTTGAGCATCCTACTCTTGATTTCAGCTCAGGTCATTATCTCAGGGTCATGAGACTGCAATGGGCTCCATGCTCAGCAGGGAGTCTGCTTGAGATTCTCTCTCTCTCCCTCTGCTCCTCCTCCCCCTGCTCTCTCTCTCTCTCTCTCCCTCTAAAAATAAATAAATAAATCTTAAAAAAGACATTGCACTATTGAGCCAGAGATAGAAAAACTGACCAAAAGAACAGAATAGAGAGCCCAAAATCAGATCTGCATATACAGGAATAGTTATGAGAGATGTACTGCTTCAGATCTTTGGGTTGAGAGAACCTCTCAATAAATGATACTAGAACACTTGAATATCCATATGGGGAAAATAGATATTTTATCACTTATCTCACACTCAAAGAAATCAATTTAAGTTAGAGTAAAGTCTTAAATGGAAAAAGGAAAACTTTTAAGCTTTTAGAAGAAAATATGGACCTTGGGATAGGGAAAAACTTCTTAAATGAGAATTTTTTTAAAGCCATGGCAATAAAACAAAAAATGTATTTATTCTATTACATTAAAATTAAGAACCTCTATAAAACCAGCCACAAATTGCAAGAAGATACATGGCACACACAACAACCAACCAAGGATTAATATACAGAATTTATGTTTTTAATGCCTAAAATCAATAAGAACAAGATAAGTAAACAAAAAATATGCTTAAGATATTGACGGGACAGGAAATATGAGTGGTTAACAAACATGTAAGAAGATGTTCAATCTGTGCTCAAACAGAGAAATGTGAATTAAGACCACAATGAGACATCAGTCTTTAGCTACCAAATTGACAAAAATAAAGTCTGATAACCAATTATAGTAGAGGATAGAGATCAATAGGCATACACATACATGACAGGTAGGAGAATAAATTGGTACAACCCTATGTAATAATGTGTCACTTTCTTGAAAGTTAGATATCCACATTCTCTACATACCAGCAATTCCACTTCTAGGAATATATCCTAGAAAACTACTCCACATGTTAACAGAATACATGAAAAAGAATATTTACAACAGTCCTACCCTTAAGAGGAAAAGAAATAACCCAAATGTTAACATAAGAACCAATAATAAATGTTACAATTTAGTTTTATAAAAAAAAAGTATGTAAGCCATCATTCTAAACACAATATAAAAACTCAATTAATAGGTTTAGTAAATGTTACACAAGACTTTTCACCTTGTTTCTCTTGGCCTTCATTTGGGCTTTTGCTAATAGAGTATACATGGTGAGCTCAGGCCTGTTCAAAGTGATCCCATCCAAGACCTGGATGGCCTTGTCATGGTTTCCACAAAATGAATAAATGAGTGCTTGCTGTATAGGACTCAACTCAAAGAGACCTAAAAGGAAAAGAAAGTTTATCAATACCTTTGCCAAGTATCTAGGATTTAGATATAATTATTTTAAAGAAGTCAAGCAATTCAATAATTTACCTTTGAAATATGGATTAATAAATCAATACAATACTAACATCTGTTTACCACCAACACACAATAAGACATTCCAATTACAAACAACAACAAAAATTTTTAAAAAATGGAAGTATAACCCTGGCATCTCCTATAATAATCTCTCACAAAACTCACTTCATTATGAAGCACTTAATAGTTGACTATGTACATGTGAAACTGAAGATATAAAGTTTCAAAATCTACATTTGATTAGAAGTAAACCTTTCATGTTATCCATACATAGCTATTGCAAACAGTATAAACATTTTTAGGAGGTATTTATTTTTTAATTAAGACAATTATAATTTTGCATTAATTATATTTACCTTTGTTCATTTCTGCTACTTGATAAATAGTAAACTTTGCAAGATCATAACATTTCATCATAAGAAGATATTGTCCTCTGGAAGAAATAATAACTTTTTAATTCTAAGCAGTTAAAAATAATTTTTTCTAAAATAAAATGTCTTATAACATGTCACATTTTTACAATTACAATACTTTTATTCATACTTACATATGTATGATAAAAACAATGCAAAAAATATAAACATTTTATGTAGTCTAAATAGACCAATTAGCATGCAGATGTAATGAAAATTTAGGAAAAGCGAAGCTGAAAGAAAAATACTCAATTTTTTTTCCCAATGACCTGTATTTTAAATTTTATACTCTAAGCCCACAGCTAACATAATACCTAGCAGTGAAAAACTAAGTTTTCCACTAAGATCAGGAATAAGACAAGAATGCCCATTCTTGCCACTTTTATTTAACACGTAAGTCCTAGCCACAGCAATCAGACAAGAAAAACAAATAAAAGGCATCCAAATTAGAAAGGAAGAGGTAAAACTCTCACTATTTGCAGATGATATGATACTATATATAGAAAACCCTAAGTACTCCAAAAAAAAAAAACTATTAGAACTAATAAATGAATTCAGTAAAGTTGCAGGATACAAAATGAATATACAAAAATCTGTTGTTTCCATACACTAAACAAGGAAAGATCAGAAAGAGAAATTTTTAAAAAATCCCATTTACAATTGCTTTAAAAAGAATCAAATTCCTAGGAATAAATTTAACCAAGGAGGTGAAAGATCTGTACTCTGAAAATTATAAGGCATTGATGGAAGAAACTGAAGATAACACAAATAAATGGAAAGATATTCAGTGCTTATAGATGGAAAATTAATATTATTAAAATGTCCATGCTACCCAAAGCGATCTAGAGATTCAGTGCAATCCATATCAAAATACCAATGGCTTTTTCATAAAACTAGAATAAATAATCCTAAAATTTGTATGAAACCACAAAAGACCCTAAATAGCCTAAGCAATCTTGAGAAAGAAGAACAAAGCTGGAAGTATCATACTCCCTGATTTCATATTATACTATAAAGCTATAGTAATCAAAGCAGTATGGTACTGGCACAAAAACAGACAACAGACAACAGAAGAGAATAGAGAGCCCAGAAATAAACACACACTTTGTATGGTCAGTCAATCTATGAAAAAGGAGGCAAGATTCTACAATAGAGAAAAGACAGTCTCTTTAATAAGTGATGCTGGGAAAACTAGGCAGCTATATGCAAAAGAATGAAACTGGACCACTTTCTTACACCATACAAAAAAATAAACTCAAAATGGGTAAAAGACTTTATCTAATGTAAAACCTGAAACTATAGAACTCCTAAAAGAAAACGTAGACCAAAAACTCTATTATTGGTCTTAGCAATATTTTTTTGGCTCTGTCTCCTCAAAGGAAACAATAGCAATAATAAACAAATAGGACTAACTACATTTAACTAAAAAATAAAAAGTTTTGCACAGCAAAGGAAACCATTAACAAAATGAAAAATCAACCTACTGAATGGGAGAAGATATTTGCAAATGTTATAGCTGATAAGGGGCTTATATCCAAAATATATAAAGAACTCATACAACTCATTACCAGAAAAAAACAAATAATCTGATTAAAAATGGGCAAAGGACCCTGAATAGATATTTTTCTAAAGAAGACATGTGGATGGCCAAAGGATGCTCAACGTCATTAATCATCAGGGAAATGTACATCAAAACCACAATGAGATATTACCTTATACCTGTCAGAATGGCTATTATCAAAAAGACAAGAAATAACAAGTACTGATGTGGAGAAAAGGGAACACTTGTGCACTGTTGATAGGAATGCAAATTGGTACAGCCACTATGGAAAACAGTATGGAAGTTCCTCAGAAAATTAAAAATAGAAATACCATATGATCTAGGAATTCTACTTTTGAATATTTATCCAAGGAAAATGAAACACTAATTCAAAACAATATATGCACCATTATGTCATTGCAGCATTATTTACCATACCTAAGATATGGAAGCAATCTAAGTGTCTATCAGTAGATGAATAGATAAAGAAGATGCATTATGCTAAGTGAAATAAGTCAGACTGGAAAAGACAAATACCGTATGATTTCACTTATATGTGGGATCCAAAAACCAAATGAACAAACAACAAAAGCAGAAACAGACCCATAAATACAAAGAACAGTTGCCAGAAGGGAGGGGGTGGGGGGGTAGGCAAAATAGGTGCAGAGGAATGGGAGGTACAGGCTTCCAGTTATGAAATGAATAAATCATGGGATGGAAGGTACAGCATAGGAAATATAGTCAATGGTATTGTAATAGTATTATTTGGTTGGTAGCTACACTTGTGGTAAGCATAGAACAAGGTATAGAGTTATTGAATCCCTATGTTGCACACCTGGAACTAATGTAACATTGTGTGTCAACAACACTTCAATTTTTAAGAAGATGTGGTATATATGTGCAACAGAATATTACTCAGCCATAAAAATTTCATCCATCCCCTCCACCCACCTCCCCTCTGGTAACCCTCTCTTTGTTCTCTATAGTTAAGAGTTGGCTTTTGGTTTGTCTCTTTTTTCCCCCTTTGTTTTGTTTCTTAAATTCCACATGTGAGTGAAATCATATGGTATTTGTCTTTCTCTGACTGGCTAGTTTATTTTGCTTAGCATTATAACCTCTAGATCCATCCATGTTGTTGCAAATGGCAAGATTTCATTCTTTTTTGTGGCTGAGTAGCATTCTACTGTAATATAAATATATATATATTTATATTTACATATACACACATCTTCTTTATCCATTCACCTATTGATGAACACTAGGCTGCTTCCATAGTTTGACTATTATAAATAATGCTGCAATAAACACAGAGATGCATACATATCTTTGAATTAGTGTTTTTGTATTCTTTGGGTAAATACCCAGTAGTGGGATTACTGGATCATAGCATAGCTTAAACAGTTGTGTTTTGATGCAAGGATAGAGCAAAGAGAAAGACTTAGTTATTTTATAATATAAATTATCTTAAAATTTAACAAATACAATAGCTCTATCTGACTTGCTAGTTGGAAGACGGCCATTGCTGGGAGATTAAATGTAAAAAGAGGAGACAAGAAGGATCAAGAGGGAAGTAAAGATCCCAATAGCTAGGTCATGTGCCAAGTTATCCCAAGAAAAACTCCATTTCTATGTTCATACCTTATTATATATAATTGGATTCCATCTGGCTGAAGGTGGATAGCACAAGATAACTCTCTTACTGCCTTTTTCAGTTTATGCAACTGTTGAGTGATAAACAGAAACTTTGCTTGTAATAAATACTGATTGCTTCCCTCCTGATGTTTCCCTCCCACCCTTCAGCACAGAAATTTTGCAATAACATCTCCTAATACACACTTTTTAAGAATCATCAAAGCAAATAAGATACAGAGAAGTTTAAAAAAAGTTTATGATGCAAAGTCTTTGGTTCTTTAAAACCATCTATCTTTAATGTTGAAGAATGATTACACATATATATGTATATAATTTTACATAAATGTGATTATATCATACTTTATAGTTTGTTTTCCCTTTTCATTTAGCTTTTTGGTTTTTCTCCTTCAACCAGAATATCTTTTCCACTAAACTTTACTTCTGTTAATAAACTAGCATGCAAAGGATGGTAAAATAAAAACTAAAAGTAAATTCTACTTAAAAATAAGTGAGGTAAGGGGCGCCTGGGTGACTCAGTTGGTTGAGTGACCAACTCTTGATTTCAGTTCAGGTTATGATCTCAGGGTCATGAAACTGAGCGCTGTATCAGGCTCTGTGCTCAGTACATGGAATCTGCTTGAGATTCTCTCTCTCCCTCTCCCTCTGCTCCTCCCCATGCTTGCATGTGTGTGCTCTCTCTCCCTCTAAATAAATAAATGAAATCTTTAAAAAAAAAATAAGGGAGGAAAAACAAGTTTGCACTTAATAAGTAAATGAATGAATAAAACAAAATACAAGAATAATGGAAATCATATGTTTAAAATCAATATATAATGCAGAGTAAACATTGAATCTTTCCTTAATACAGGTCACAGGAGCATAATCAGGATTTGTACAAATGTGGGAACAAAAACCTACTATAACTGGGAATATCACAAAAAGAGGACTATAGAGACCCCAGCAAAATGAATCTGGGACATCAACCACTCCTCTCACAATGCTGACACAGTGATACAAAGAGGAGAATGCATAGAACTAATGTGTGCACAGAAGTAGGCAGTAGCTCTTGAAATGTACAAGCTGGTCGGAGGAAATAGTGGGTGGAGTCAAAAGAAGGAACCCCAAAATAGGGAGTTTGAAATGTGTTTAAATAAATTTGAGAATTTCTGTGGAACTTCTGTGCTTCTCAAGCTGACCCTGCTCCGCTTGGTGTAATTAATAAACCATCTAGTCTTATTATGTCTGCATTGTTCCACCTGTTCCAATGTCTATACATTGAGGAACCCTGTTTGGAAAAGATGGAGGCTCACTGTCTGATCTTTATCAGCCCTCCTGGGTGGGACTTCTCCAGGCAGCCTTAGATTAGGTTCACTCTGGAGGCGAACCCACCTAGTAGCCATATGCGTTCTTCTATATAAAAACACAGGGTTTGATCTGCAATTGTTTTATTTACATGGGATCATATTGTACACACTTAACACTCTTTTCTGAGTCTTGCTTTTCTTATTCAACAATATCTCATGGAAACCTCTCTAAGTCGACGGTATTGTTCTAAGCACTATTTTTATTGACTAAATATTATTCTATGGTGTGAATACAACACAATTTATTCAACCATTACCACGTAGAGACTTTTTCCCCCTCAGAATAATGAGACTTTGAATAGATGTCCTTATATCCTGATATCATGCTGGTGCTTTGGGTTATAAGTGTGCCCAGAGGGAGTTCCAACTTCCCCAGAAGCCATCAGCTCCATCAACATGGAGTTAAGCAAAAGGACCACATACCACAAGTATGTCCATCCCTTCCCCAACAATAGTCAAGAGCAAACTTTCCCTGGGGACAATACTAAGTCTGCCCTGGGTCTTCTACCTCCATCATCAGGGTGGGAAGGACTTTGTGTGGGACTCTAGTCACACTGGGTCCTGAGATGTGGACAATGGAGAAGACCCTCTAACCAACTCTCAGTGGACAAGCAGTGTGAGCAAGAAATAAACCTTTGTTATTTTATTACCGTGATTTTTTAAGTGTTTTGGAGATTTTGGGGATGTGTGTGTGCATGTGTTAGTGTATGTATGTGTTTAACCATAGCACAAACTAGACTATCCTGACTGAAACCAGTGTGACAAGAGGACTTATAGAGGACAAGAGTAGAAAGGTAATAAGGAGCCAATTCCTGTGGCTCTTGTAGGCCTTTGGCTTTTGCAGGATTGGCTTTTATTCTGAGTGCAAGGGAAGCTATTAAAGGGTTGGGCAAAGTGAAATAATCTGACATGTTTTAACAGGATCATTATAGCTGCTGTGTTGAAAATCCATCAAAAAGTAGTAAAGAACAGAAGCAAGAAGACCAAGAGTTCCCTGCAATAATCCTGGTGAGGAATGACAGTGTCTTGGACAGGACGATTAGTGGTGGAGTGGTAAATAGGGATATCTATCTTGAAAGGTAGAAACAACAGTAGTGTTTATCTCTGAAAAGCCAGATTTGGTTGGAATCAGGGAGGATTTTTCTATTTATTCCATTGTTTGACTTCATAACACTAAAGATAAATTACATTTTTTATTTAAATAACTTATAAAATTTAAACAAAATATAAAGGTAAGTGTGAATGAGTAGGATCTCATTATATGCATGGATCCCATTCTACAAACCCACCTGCTCACTATAGACATACACACACACACAGTCAAAACCAAACGTTAACAGTAGTTGTCTCTAGAGAATAAAATTATGGATGGTTTTCAACTTACTTGCATACATATATTACATGAAATAAATATATATTGTTTTTGGAATACAGAAAAGGTTATTATTTTTTAAAAAATGAAAGACAAAAATTCATGCCTTATAAGTAGAGGCTTTATACATAGGTAATTATAGTTAGCTACATCTACTTAATATTTATTGCTTGAAAATGCATTAGTCTCTATAATTAACTGAAAACAAATACATTAATATACAAAAATTATATTGAACAGGTGGATATCCAGAAAATTAAAACTTTTTTTTTAAAAAATCAAGGTTTTCAAGACTTAAATACCTTCTGATAGGTTTCTGCTCGACAAATATAGCTTTGAATATGTAAAGGATCAAGTCTAATAGCCTCAGAAAAATGCCAAGTGGCTTCAAAGTAGTTATCCAAGTACAGCAGATGTATGAGGCCAATATTTATGTAAGCCAAAATAACAGTTCTAAAAAAAATGAGAAAACAAAATCTTGTTAGACATTTTAATTATTCCAAATGTTTCCCAATTTTGTATGAACCTGTGAAATACATACATCAATATATATCAGGTTTTTTTAATGTTTTACTAAAGCAAAGTAAATCAATTAACTATTCTCTATTAAAAACTATAAACACCTTTATAAAATCCTTAGTAGAGAATCAACATTTGTAGAGTCTATGCTAGGAACAGAATTCCTGAAGTCCCCAGGCAATACTTTACTCTTCCTTGACTTAATCTTGACTTATCTTGAATTACAAGCTTAGTTTTTCTCAATTTAAAAGTTTCCACTTCAGGCTATGTTGCCTTTGCCCTGAGTAAAAGAGAAACAGTAACATTCCCAAAGCCTGGAGTTAAAAATCCTCTCCATGTAGGTATAACCCAGCTTCTTTTCTATGTCAAATAAGTGTATTTTTTCTCTCTTACAATCAAAAAATTTTCAATATAGAAATGGTCTTAGAAATTACTTTGTCTAATGCTTCTATTTCAAAATGAGGAAGACTATATATCCTATAGCCCAGCTTTATTAGAAGCCTGGACCCTTTGCCTAAAAGACATCAAAGTTCGTGCTGCCCATTTTTTGGCTTTTTTGCAACTGAAACTCTTTTCCTTCCTTTCCTGGCTCAAAAATACCCAAAAGAAAACTACTGTGGCCATTTTGGAGCCATTCTCCATGTCTTTCCTGAGTCAAGCTTAAAGTTTACCTTATCTAAGCTAGATAAACAGTCTGCTGGTTGGCATGGAATTGGCATGCTTTGTTACTTTCTTGACACCTTTCATTTTAATGAATGCTTCACTGAAAAGAAAGGAAATTAATTCTATGTTTTAGAGCTGAGGTTTCTGACTAGTGTGTGCAACTTTCAGTCTTTGTTTCTTACTGAACCTATGTTCTAATGGAATTGGTTTTTTTCTTTGGCTTTACTATGCAAAATGGAGTCGGAGGTTCTAAATAGAGAGTTCTTCCTATTGAGTCATATGTGTTGTGCATAGCAAAAACAAGCAGAATATTTTCTCATTATTTTAAAAGTTGATGACAGTCTTTCATGAAGTTAACTTCAAAAAGCCCTAACCTGGGCATCCCCACACTGCTGTAAATAATTTTATGTTGTTATCTGCGGATTGGACTCCTCTCAAATGCATTCAATCTCTAAAATTTGCAAAAGTATCTGAAACAAGCCGATGTTGGAAATAGGTCTTATTTTAGAAGTAGTCTTATTTTCAGAAGTAGTATTCTGTTTCTAAGATGGCTTTACAATTATCTCATTTTACAAGGTTATTAATGATGTGGGGAAAGGACTTTTTCTTTCATTTTTTTCTTAACTTTATACAAAAGTGAAATCAATAAGACTATAAGGAAAACATACCTTTCTAGAGAAATAACAGTTTCAAAGTCACAGATTGCCAGCAACCAAAGTTTTAGATCTGCATAGAGTATGCCCCGATGTAGAAAACAACCAAGATTCTCATAGCCATCATTTATGAGAACTTAAAAATAAAAAATATATAGTTTATTCAGGTTCTGAACAAAAATATCTGAGTTATATTTTAGTCTTCACCCTTCCTATCACTTATTCTTCAAATTTTTTTTTTATTTATTCATTCGAGACACAGAGATACAGAGAGAGAGAGAATGTGAGCAGGGGGAGAAGCAGAGGGAGGGGGAGAAGCAGGCCCCCTGCTGAGCAGGGAGCCGGATGTGGGGCTCGATCCCAGGACCCTGGGATCATGACCTGAGCCGAAGGCAGACGCTTAACCATCTGAGCCACCCAGGCGCCCCACTTATTCTTCAATTTTAATATTTTATAAAACAGGTCTGTGATGAGTGTATTTATTTGATGAGTAAGAAATAGCATTCACATAAAAAGTGTATGTGCTATAAGTAACAATGTGGCTATCAAGTTTCAAAAACTCATTAAAACTGGAAGAAATCCTGGTGGTAATCTAGGATAGTCCACTCACTTTGTAGATCAAGAGATTAAGGTACAAAGGTACACAGTCATGTTGCAAGTCAATGGCAAAGATGGAATCTAACCTCTGATTCACTTCAGTGGATGGCAGTCAGAAGGGCACCCTTGCCCTTGATGGCCTGTTAATTATCAGGAGGGCATTGCTATTGGCCGTAAAACAGGCTCTGGTACAACTCCAGACTGGGGCAGATGGCAGAGATCAGGATACAACTCATCAACAAGGGAAGGGCAGCTCAAAGAGGCTACTCCAAGGCCAGCAGAACTTGGAGTTAAGGCAGGTAACTCATCTGTGCTTGTCCCAAATAATAGGAGTATGGGGCAAAAAGAATCCTCTCTCAGTTCTCCAGGTGTGTGTCTCTCATCTGTAACTGGTCTAGAGGTCATCTCATGTCTCTTCACTTATTAATTTTCCCTTCACTTTCAAAAGCATGTTAGTGAATTATATGGGTTTTCCACAACACTTGATCCATATCTTCTAAGCTTCTCAGGCCCATTCTGGCTGAGAAGGGAAAGTTTTGCCAAAAATGTGCATAATGCTCACAGTCTGGGATACAAATATTCACAGTACTAGACTTTGGGAAGTATATCTAGTGTAAGCAATGATCATATAGATTAAATAAATAATCACATGAAGGCAATCTGACTGCTCCATTCACAGTATGATTGGCCAGCAAAGAGCAAGTCAGCTGCAGTTTTGGTGGTTGGTCTAGGAAAATTAAAAAATTATTCCTAAGGAAAAAAATATTAGAATTACTTCACTTCTCTGTGCCTCCATTTCTTCATCAGGAATGAAAATAATACCTACCTCATAGCATTATTCTGCATATTAATTGAGACACTCCATATACAGCATTTAGAATAGTGTTTGGCAAGTAGTAAAATGCCCAATAAATGTTAGATATTATTATTACTTGGAAAAATATCTTAAGGGTCCTTTTTGATTGTGGAAGATAAAACTCTTTAGGCTAGCTTATAGAAAAGGATTAAAGTAAAAAATCAAGCTGGTCTGCTCTGAATAGTTAAATAACAGGGATTTTGTATTGTTGTGATAGTCTAGAAAAGAGGGAGTGAGGAGTCAACAACTTGGAGAAGAGGGAAGTATGAGAAAGAGACTTTTAGAGATGACTGAAGAGAAAGGAGGTTGGCCAGATGGCAGATGGACAGGGCTGACAGACAGAAACAAACTTCAAGAAATAGGGGTGTGCTTGACCTTCAAATTTAAATGTCTCTGCTAAATTTATCCTTTGAACCCCAAGGTGTTCATGAACAGTAAACACAAGAATTGTGTGGATGAGCAAAAATGGAGAATCAATCAGGGAGCAGAAATTAGATGCAAAGATTATACAAGAAACAAAAATTTAACTTAGTCCTGCCTTCCAAAAATCCTTAGAAATAGAAGGGAGAGCACCAGAATACTCTCAGAACATAAAATGGACTTTGAGTTACTTTATTTGAATATTCATGGGAAGGGTGGCCTCAGAAGGCAATCATCTTATATTGCCTTCCCTGAGGAGCTGTGCAATTCTCTTTATAAGAGTCTAGTTGTCTCTTAATCTCTAGATACTGCCTCATCTAGAATGATGGAATTCTAGCGCTTTGCACCCAGGGGAACACAGCCATGTTTGGAATGCTGGTCTCTGGCTAGAATTATCCAATCACAATGGGCTAATTTATTCAGCTGGGAACTGTGTACTGAGAACTTACTCTATGCCCAGAATTGTGTGGGGCATATTTATATACCAAGAACACATTGCTATAGGGTAAAGTGGAAATGGTTACTTTTAGCTATTGGCATCCTATCACTAAGGATTCTCAAAGTTCATTTTTAGTGTAAGTTACACACACATGTAAGTACAAACACATTCACATTCACTAAAACGGCATATAGGAACACTTTTAGCTAAACCATTGTAGCTTGTAAATACATATGAAAAAATATATATATATTAATATATACCTATATATAACTACATAAAAATATACATAGTATATTAATCATCGCATATTAGTAGTACATTCTATGAAAGTGAACTGCTGAACTTCAAATTCTTATTTATGTGCAGTTGAAGGTGAAGTACCTGAAACGCTATAATCCTGTAGTGCTCTAAAAGGGCTACTCTTTCTAAATAAGCAGGCTCTATAATACAAAGCTAACCAGTTATTAGGATCTAAGTGAATTGCAACAGAAAAATCTTGAGTTGCTTGCTTATAAAATTGCCGTTTAAAATATGCTCTTCCTCTGTATGTCCTAGAAAAAGAAAAAAAAAATCATTTTACTATATATTGCAAAATACACATTTTCTCTTTTTGGTAAATGTTCACAACTAATTTTGTATTTGAATAACAATCTGTGATTATTTCCACTTGCTTCCCAAAAAAGTTTAGTGATGATGCTAATAGCAAAAAAAAAAAAAAAGAAGAACTTTTTATAAATAATCAATTATACTTTATTGTACATATAACTATATGCTTATTAATAATATGCTATATGCTAATTATATGCTTAGTAACTATATTATATTTCTTGCACCTATCAGAGAGGTGTGTCAAAAAAGTAAATATGAGATTTACTTATTTTTATTGAGTACCCAAAATGTTAGACTTTAATTTGTATAACATTGTTCTCTAGAAAAACCAAATAACCCATTTTGAAGGAAACGGGCCTCAGTGAGTGGAGTTGTTAGATTTTTCCCTGGCACTGAAGATACACCCAAATAAATGGGAGGCTGCTTTACATGGATGAAATGTATTTCATCACTTGTGTGATTGGATTTTATCTCTATTAACTTCTGACTCCAATTCTGAAATTATCATTGACCTATATCAATTCCTGAAAATTCTATTTTCAGTCATTTAATAATGTAAAGCAAATCAGCTTTTAGAAATAAAATAGACAATTAAGGAAAAACAGGAAGTAGGTTACCTGCTGTGAAGAAGTTAAATCCAGTTTGGTGAGGTGGGGGTGGGGTGTGGGTAGGAGATAAAGAGATGTTCAAGAAAGTTATATCATGAAACCAATGATAATTTGGAGAAAAGAGTGCATACCAGACAGGTAACAAAGGTCTTTCAAAAGCACTAAGCATCTAGAGGGACACCTGGGTGGCTCAGTCAGTTAAGTGTCTGACTTCAGCTCAGATCCTGATCTCCCATTGGGCCTCAAGAGGGGCCCACCCCAGCTCAGCAGGGAGTCTGCTTGTCCCTCTCCAACTCCCCCTCCCCTTGCTCATGTTCTCTTTCTCTCTCTCAAATAAATAAACAAAATCTTAAAAAAAAAAAAAAGCACGAAACATCCTGAAACCCAGGATATTTTATCCTGCAGCAAAATGTTTTTTGCCTCATCTTTAAGAGATGTCTTATTTATTTTCTAATGAATACAAGAATTTTATATTTATTTTTAATGATTTCTGTTTGTTAAGAATAACCCTAATATTTTTCAGCATATACATAATTCTGAACTTAAAATTTACAGAATAAACCTTCAGCAATATTTTTGTAAGATGCCATTAAGTCATGTCAATTCTTCAAACACACTGACTTTTACATCCTTTCCTTATTTTGTTTCCATTGCCTCATACTTCAGATCCTCATCAACTCACATCTGTGCTACTATTTTACTCCATTCCTAGCTCTAGAGTAATAAGATTTATCAATAGGTAATAAAGATCTCTTTTCTCAAAAATTTTCAACAAACCTCTATTGACAATGGAAGGAAGCCAAATTCTATATAGTCTTCTATAAGATAGTACCATCTTACAATATCTTGAATTAATCTTCTTGTTCTTCTCCAACTAATTTGATGCTGTTTGGTGCAAGAGTTCTAGCACCACAGTTAGCCAAGTTGTGAGTACAAAGGAAAAGTTCTTGAAGGAAATTAAAAGTGCTACTCCAGTGAACATTATGAATGATAAGAAAGTGAAACACCTTATTGCTGATAATGGAGAAAGTTTGAGTGGTCTGGATAGAAAACCAAACCAGCCACAACATTCCCTTAAGCTAAAACTAATCCAGGGCAGGGCCCTCACTCTCTTCAGTTCTGTGAAGGCTGAGAGACAGTGGGAAGCTGCAGAAGAAAAATTTAAAGCTAGCAGAGGTCAGTTCATGTGGTTTAAGGAAAGAAGCTGTCTTCATTACATCAAAGTGCAAGGTGACTAGACATAAAAAGAATATCACCACATTATTCTACTTAAATAAAGTTTAAAAAACGGGCAAAATTAAACTAAGAATGTTTAGTGATACACATACTTATGTGATGAAACTATAAAGAACTACAGGAGTCATTAAAATGGAAACCAGGACAGTGGTTACCCTCTGGGGGAGGCAAAGGCACAAAGGGGTCTCTAGGGTGCTGGAAATGTTTCTTGACCTGGTAATAGTTACACGGGTATTTACATTGTGATAAGTCATTAAGTTGTACATTTGTATACTTTTCTGGATGCATGTTTCATGTTACTATAAAAAATTTCAATATTGAACAAATTGTGAGTGAAAAAAAGAGCAGGTATGACTATATACACATTTTAAATCTCTTCAAAACAAAATTTAGATTAAAAGAAAAGCAACAGGGGTGCCTGGGTGGCTCAGTCATTAAGCATCTGCCTTCAGCTCAGGTCATGATCCCAGGGTCCTGGGATCGAGCCCCACATCCGGTTCCCTGCTCCGCGGGAAGCCTGCTACTCCCTTTCCCACTCCCCCTGCTTGTGTTCTCTCTCTCGCTGTGTTTCTCTGTCAAATAAATAAATAAAATCTTTAAAAAAAAAATTAAGAAAAAAAAAGAAAAGCAACAAAATGAAAATTGTATTATGCACCACAAGGTTGGAAAAACAAAGTTTATTATTGAAGTTATGATATTACAGAAATCTACATAAACAGTTCTCTGTGCTCAGTGAATAAAAAGGATATGAAAAGAAATTTAAAGAAAAAATATAGGTCAATATTTTAAAAATTGATAATGTAACTAGCATTTAGGAAATACAAATGAAACCACTCTAAATTGCCACTTTATGACTATTAAATTAAATTACCCACTACTGTTAGGATATAGTTAAAGATTTTCATTCACTGGTAGCAGTGAAAATTGACTTCACTATTTCTAGAGCTGTCTGATGTATTTCAAGCAATTTTCTTTCCTGGGAATGAATTTTTAAAAAATAATAATTTCAAAAATCACATCTAAAATAATTCTTACCTGGCTTGAGAATTTTGGGGATCTATATTTAATAGAGCTGTAAAATCTTGTATGGCTGAAATCCAGTTTTCATTTTCATAGTGAAACGTCCCACGTTTCAATAATGCATCTGTTCTTTTGGGATCATAAAAAATACACTACATGGGGGAGGTAGAAGGGAGGCACAAAAACATAGCACATTATGAAAAAACAAAAAACACAAGAAAAGTATATGATCTCATAGCAAATTAAGTGTACTACAACTACATTTTTAAACTTCAGATTACATAAAAGCAAACTACTTTAAGATGTCTAAACTTTCAAATTTGCATTTAAAGACCACGTCTTTAGTCTTTAGAAGTGCTTGGGTTGCACAGTCTGTTAAGCATTTGACTCTTGGTTTCAGCTCAGGTCGTAATCTGAGGGTTGTGAGATCCAGCCCAAGTGGGGCACTCGTTTGCTCTCTCTCTCTCTCTCTCAAATAAATAAATAAATTTTTAAAGACCATGTCTTTAGGAAGAGCATTTATCATCAAATTCTAAAAAGGGGAGGTTTTCTGAGGGAGAAAAAAAAAAAACAGCATATATAAGGAGCCAAGGCTTTTGCCCACTGAACTTTTTACTGATAAATCTTCTTTGGGGTGTGTGGGTGGCTCAGTCAGTTAAGCGTCTGACTCTTGATTTTGGCTCAGGTCATGATCTCAGGGACATGGGACCAACCCCCGAGTCAGGCTCCACACTCAATACAGAGTCTGCTTAACATTCTCTCTCTCCCTCTCCCTCTGCCCCTCCCCCTGCTCTCTTGTATTCTCTCTCTCTCTCAAATAAATAAAATCTTTTAAAAAACAAGATATGATAGATCACAGCATTTATCCTAATTAAAGATGATACATATTAGACCACATCAAGGCTGACTCAATCAAATCAAATATGTATTAATCTAGTCCCTAAAATGGTGAAAAGAAATGAATTGGTATTGGTTTATTCATTTCACAATGACATACAAGGCAAGAGCAAACAGACTAAATCATTGTGTACTCTGTTGTAAACTCCTTGCCTATTGATAGTGGGGGTGAAAAAGTGAAGCACAAGGACTACTGAGTATTTTTAAAACAGGAGGAAAAAAAAACCTAAAGATTTTGAAGATTGTTTGACCTCAAGTGGCTGCATTAGTCAATGCATGGAGGAAGTGAACAGGAATAGATAATCTAGTGATTTCAATATTTTCAAAAGAGATTTTTGGTCACTTCTAAAGTAGAAGTGATCAAAACTTACAAGCTTCTCCTGAAGCAAAAGAATGTCAAGTATGTGGTTAACCATCATGGATTAAGAAACAGGGCAGCTGGCTGTTCCCTTGCTGTACAGAAGCTTTTTATCTTGATGAAGTCCCAAAAGTTCATTTTTGCTTTTGTTTCACTAGCTTTGGAGATGTATCTTGAAAGAAGTTGCTGTGGCTGATGTCAAAGAGATTACTGCCTATGTTCTCCTCTAGGATTTCAATGGATTCCTGTCTCACATTGAGGTCTTTCATCCA